AATGTCTGGTAAGGCTGGTATTCTTTCCTTTACTCTTTTCTACCCTAAAAACTTCCAAGTTATACTTTTGTGCCTTTATCTTCATACAGAGTTTAGAATCAGATTCCACAGGTCTAAAAACATCCTGCCTGTATATCTTGTGTAATGACGTTAATTTTTAAGATTGATTTAGGGAGAATTTTATAGAATCTAAGCATCCCATCCAAGCATACGGTATACTTTTCTCTTTATTCAATTTTCCTGTTTTGTTCCTCAGTTTTCTTCATGCATTTCTTACATATTTCTGGTTCAGATCATTCATAGGAATGTGTTTCATTTTGCAGACTGCTACCGGAAATGGGATTTTGTTCCCTTTCCGTTATATTTCCTAACTGGGTGTTCTTCCTATACAGGAAAGCTATTGATTTTTACGTATTATTAATATTAAATGCAATGATATGCAATTTTTTTTCTGGGAACAAAAATAATATATGATTGTATTCTATCAAGGAATACATGAAGAATTTTTCTATTCTGTTGTATTCTATATTATTCCATTCTGTTCTGTTCTTATTTGTAACAGTTTCTTGGTTCACATGGGTTTTCCCAGTAGACCATCATAGCATCTACAAAAGCGACTTGAAAGCGACTTAGGTGAGCACACCTCACTGCTGGCCTTGGAACTGGCCTAGGGGAAAGCCCCCAGTGCTTTGTGGCAGCTCAGGGCCTGCTGAGACCCTGACGTTCAGGACCTATTCTTAGCTCCACGACGATCGTAGATTCTGCTGCTTTAATGCTGAACCCTCAGAACCACATTGCCGCCGACACCTGGCATTTCCTCGGAGAGCCGGTCCAAACGTGCTTTCTCCGGCTCAGCTGTGCTTTCTCCATATATACGACTGGAAGGCTCTGGGCAGCAGTTATGCAACTTTGCATCTGGTGCTCCTCTGTCGTCTTGCAAACACTCTTTGCATATTCGGGATCAGATAAACAAACGGCGTGTTATTTATAGCAGCTCTTAACAGCTGAACAGGCCTGGTTAATAGGGGTGCCTTTGTGGGGTCTGTTTTCTGAGTTGCCTCCAATAAGTGTGGAAGGGGTGAGCTTCTTTGATTTCTTCAAGGAAGCGAGTCTCGGCCCTGGCAGCGCATCTTCCAGACCTAGGTGATCCTCTCCTGCTGTGTCTTCATGCCCTCGTTCTTCACAGACGCAGCGTGGCTTCCTCTACATCGTGAGTTACCCAAGAGCCTGCCTGTGAAATTCTCTGCTTTGTTACATTTAACAGTGTCTTAAGCCCAGAATTCACCTGGTTTTTGTGAAGGTAGAACATGGTACCCAGAGGTGGAATCACTGCCTTCCTTTTCTTTTCTTTTTTTTTTTTTTAATTTT